CTCTATTTACATAGGATTTTTAAAAACAAATTCTCTTAGCAATGATTTGTAGTTTTCAGTATAGAGTCTTTTTGCTGTGTCCTCACATGGCAGGAGGGACAAAGGAGCTCTCTGGGGTCTCTTTTAAAAGAGATTTGTCCCATTCATGAAGGCTTCCACCCTCATGGCCTAAGTACCTCCCAAAGGCCCTACCTCCAAATACCATCACATTGGGGATGCGGTTTCAACATATGAATTTGGAGGGGATGCAAATATTCAGTCTATAGCAACAACCATTCCATCCTCCAACCCTTTGTACCTTCAAAATCTGACAAATGTCTTAAAGAGAGAATGGTTGTGTGTTTAAGGTGAGTTTTCTTCCTTTGTTAGGTCTTTGCTTCCCATAAGACCCCAGGAGATTTCGCTCTGTCCTTTAAAAGGCATTTGTTCATGGGGGAAATGCAACCACATGTTTAAGGGCAAGTTTTCACTTTGTTGTGCCAGCACCACATCACTACCACAAGTGTTTCTGATTTATTTCCCTTCATCCCAGGCCCTCTGCCTGGGTCAAGACTGACTCTCACCCAGAATCAGAAAATGTCCCCCCAGAGAAAAAAATTCTGGCTGTCTTATACTCTTTTTAGAATGGTTCTTCCCTCTTTGGTATTTTAATTGATCTAGGCTTCACTGCTTCTGCAGCTCTCTGATGCCTTTACAATTAAGATTTTTGTAATCCATCCAGATTCTTCTAGTTTTTGCAGTGGGGCATTGGTCTACTACATCCTACCTGGAAGTTGCTATAGCCATATATTTTATTGACATATTTTGGCATAAATTCCTGAGCAACTCCTTGTTTGGAGAAAATAAATTTATTTTGCTTTAGCTTTCCAGTGTTATATGACAAAAAATCCTTATTCTTTCATTCCATCAAATACATTGAATTTCTATAAAATTAATAAAATCAAATGCTTACTTTGTATAAAATTGAGACATCAGTTAGTGATCTAATAAGTAAGTGTTGGTTTTCTTGGTTAAACGTAATGCCTAGAGGTAAGTTTTTGGTGAGTGACAAAATGCAGCCTTGAAACAAAAGTTGCTCTGATTTATGAGTTCTTTTTAAATTTATGCTCTTTTTTCTCTAAGCCTGTTGGGCCTTGTTCAATGTTATCATCTCTAATGATGGTTCTATATATTAATGACAATCTGTTTTCTATTTACCATTACATCTTCAGGGACATTTCTATCCTTTTGAAAACATCTGTGACACCAGATTTTGAATTTCTTTGTCTGATATTAGCATTAACAGAGTTAGACAAGAAGGAGATTTCAAGCTGTATTTTTCTTGGACCACTCTTGGCTCCATTCTTTCCCTTCTGTAACCCCCATTGGGGCAGGATTAACATTTATTGAACGTTTACCATGGTTTTTGATGGGGAGTATAGAGGGCACAGCACTTTACTTTCTCATTTCTCACGTCAACTTTATAAGTAGGGATTATCTTCCTCATTTTATAGAAGGAGAAACTGAGCCTCAGAGTCTATAAGCAGCTTGTTCAGTTACACCTGGAGAGAAGGCTCTCATTTCTGGCATAAACTAAAGTGTACTTCATTTCTAGTTTTTTTTTTTTTTTGGTGAGGAAGATCTGCCCTGAGCTAACATCTGTTGCCAATCTTCCTCTTTTTTTGCTTGAGGAAGATTCTCCCTGAGATAATATCTGTGCAATCTTCCTCTCCTATTTTGTCTGTGGGTCGCTGGCCCAGCATGGCTGACAAGTGGTGTAGGTCCGTGCCTGGGATCTGAACCTGTGAACCTGGGCTGCTGAAGTGGAGCGTGCCGAACTTGACCACTATGCCACAGGGCCAGCTCTTCAAAAAAGCCCAATCTTTTTTGATTAATAATTGCATAAAATATTTCCTAAAGCAATGACAACTATACTATTTGCTGCATTTCAACCTTCCTCCATGGTTTTCTTAGCTGAGAATTTTCTCTACAAGTACAGACAATTTTGTGCAGTACAGAACTCTGAAATCTTTACTTGAGCTGATCCACAATTGATACTTTTCATTTGAACAGCATCTTACACATTCTTGGCTTATTGTCACCCACTGTCTATGCCCTTCACTCTCCTGTCTAGACCTAGTCCTTCTGCAGAACGTACCCGTTTGATGGTTCTCATCTCTTTTGCGTGGGTGACTCCCTAAGAAAAGTCTCCTTACCTCCCTTTCAGTCCCGTGTTGCCAGCTTCTCCGGGGACCTCATCTCAACGTCCACCCCATAAAGGCAACAGGGAAACAATCCTTTGAAACCAGATCCGTTTCTGTTAATGGAATAATCATTCCTGGTTTCTAGATTAATAATCTTAGTATCACCTTTCTCTACTTCATATTTAGTATGTGTGTGTGTGTATGTTTTTTTTTTAAAGTTTTGCTTCTTCCTTCCAGATGTTTTTTAGATTCATTCTTTCTGGTCCATTTCTATTGCCACCAGGCCTACCCTGACTCCTTCAACTAAGACACCTGCTGTGGTTTTTAATGTATTTCCTAGATCTAGGCTCACTTCACCACAACAAACTTCACTGCTTGAGTCTAGGCCCACGCTTCTCGCTTCTCTGACCCTGATTTCTGTGACAGCTTTCTAATGGCTCCCTGCTTCATATCTCCTCATCCTCTGATCCGTTTTCTACATGGCCAGAGGAGTTATCTTTCGAAAGCACAAAGTTTATTCTGGAGGCAAGGAGGCAACACGATCAAGTCAAACTCCTTGGCATAGCATACAGAGCATTTCATGATCAATTTCACAGATATGTGAGTGCCTGCTCTAAGTCAGGCACTGTGACAGGAGCTGGGCATTCAGCACAAGACCTAGTTCCACCCTTAGAACAGTTGGGTGCCTGCCCACTTCTCTGCTCTGGTCTTTGCACATAGGGAGCCTACCATGCTAACCTCCAGTGATGCTGACCAACTTTTCAGTGTCCCACATATCCATATTATTTCAGCCTTCTACTAGAATGCATTACCTTTTCTTAATCCTTTGTCACTTGGTTTAGACATCCCCTCAAGAAGCTCCCCGTGATCACCCCTGAGGCTGGACCAGGGGCTCCTCTGTGCATAGTTCCATCAAAGAGTTATGATGCTCTATTGTGATCTTCTATTTCCTTGCCTAACTTCCCAAATCACACATTAGCTCACTGAGCACAAGGACCATGTATTATTCGTCTTTGAGTCTCCGGGACCAAGCACAGTGTCTGGTCCAGTGCTCAGTTGATGAATGTCTCTGTGCTATTTCATCACGTCAATTTCTTCCTCAAGAACTTATGGGACCTTTTGGCTGCCTGCTCCATCAAATGACTCGTCTGGATTTTGAGATGCTTTGAAGAGATGACTGTTCCATATCCATCCAAACAGATTTCTATGTATTCACTAACAGGGGACACAACTCATCTCTTTCTTTTTCTCACACGTGCCAAACTTCCTTTTAGTTTTGATTCCTCTGCTCTATGCTCTCAGGCGCCTCCACCTCCTGACCCTGTCACTTCTCCAAATCCTACCAAACTCAAAGGCTGACTTCATTGTGAAGCCCTCTCTGCCTGTCGTATGCCGTGCTGATCGCACACTTCTTAGACACATGCCCCCTGACGTGATTTGGGTGTGAGAACCCAGCATACAGAGATGGGGTCTGGGACTTCTCAGTTGACCTGTCACTGAACATAATGAAGGCACATATAAAGAGCCCTATAAATATCCACTTTGATATATAGGACTCCACATTGACCCTTGAGCCATGAACAGCTGGCTTTTAGGAATAACACAGAGAGCACATCTTCCTGTGTGATTCACACATAGACATTTCAGCTTAGCATCCCCCAAACCAACGCAGATGCCCCTATCTCAGCCAATGGTAAATCCTGTCAGCATTGTGTCTGAAATCTAGAAAGTATCTCCAGAATCTGATCCCTTCTCAGCCCCTCCCCTATTATTGGTTCAAGCCTCTATGGTGCCTAGATTGTCGTCAGTCTCCTAAGAGGTCTCCCTACACCTGTCCTTGTCTCCTCTGTCTGATCTCAATAGAGCAGCAGAATGATCCTGGCACATTGAACTCTACTCAGAACTCGGCAATGGTATCCCATTTCACACAAAGTAAAAGCCAAGGGCGGCGTAGGGGCCACATTGCCCTACACGATCTGCATCCCCATGCCCTTCAAACACCACCCATGCTCTCTGCTGCAGCCCCCGGCCTCCTTGCTCTATAACTTCAGGCTCCCATCCCCACTTCCTTCATGTTTTTACTCAACTGTCACTGCTTCAGCGAGGCTCCCCAGGGCTGCCTAGTTAAAATCGTAGCACCCTTTCATTTGCTATCTGTTTTTCCTGTTTCCCTATTTCATACACAAATAGTATGTTTTCCTTTTTCCGAAAAGCATATTATATACTTTACTGAGTTTTCTTCCTTTCTCCACAAGTGTGTCAGCTGCACAAGGACAGTCGTTTTTGTTTGTTCACTGCTGTATCCCCAGCTTCTAGAACAGTCTGGCATGTGGATGTTGCTTTACTAGCTTTTGAATGCATGACAATTGTTTTGTGATTAGGAAGCTACTGGCCGAGAGCACCTGATGTCTTTCTATGGTAGTGAATCATAAGAGGACAAAGGCTGTGGGAACAGGTCAATCGTCAGGGCTGGCGATGTCCTCTGGGACTTTCTCTTAATTTGCATTAAGTAAGAAAACTCTCCCTGCACGTGAGAGCGTGACTCCAAGAGGAAGGACACCAATGCGGCTTCCTAACCTCAGCACCTGCCCGGGACGGAGCATGGTGAGCTCACTGCTCTGACCTCCCACTGGACAAAGACCCAAGATTCCAGGACTTGGGGATATTACCGACTCACTGTGTATTTAAACATTCGCTTTCCCTGCTCCCACACATTTATATTCTTCCCAAGAACATCTCTGGATGTATCAGAAAAAATGTAAAAATATATTTATAACTGAAAAGTATACACTGGATAGCATTTAAAAAATTACTCACCACTGTCGATTGCTAGGAAGAGGGCAGTGTACACGCTGTTGTGGACTAATGGGGACTCTCGGTCCAGCACGGCTGTGGTGTCAACAGTCCCATTGATGGGGTTAATATTCAGCCAGCCTGCTGGGTCTTTGTAAACAGCATACCTGAAAAAAAATCCCCAGACAACATCAGACTACATTCAAGATAGATTCAAGAAACATTCACTGAGTGCTGGGCACAAGCTCCCGTGCCAGGTGCCAGATACTTCTTAACACACATCCAAAACCGTCATTACAGTTACAGTTGTTCATTCAGAAAGTAATGGCTAACCTCCTGGGCCTGTTCCATGCTAAACTTTGCACACGTGCCTCCTTTATTCCTCATGACAAGCCTGTGAGGAGGCAGCTCTTATTTGCCCAGCTCTCACAGAGGCAGAGTTCACAGCCCATCTCCTGAGTTCAAGTCCAGTTTTGTTTCTTTTACACCTTGGATGTAGCTTGTCTGCAGAGCAGGTGGGAGAAGCGCTGTCATGAAGGTACAGGCAGGGCACCTAGACGCTTAGGGGAAGAAGTCATTACCTCTGTTGGAGGGTAACCCTGGGGACCTCACAGAGGATGCAGCAACTGAATTAAGACAGGAGGAATGGGTAGGATGTTGTCAGGGAATGAGGGGGCAGACAAGTCAGGAGCAGGGAACGACATGAACTAACACATGGGACAGAGATATTCACTAGATTCTAAGTTCCACAAGAGCAAGGATATCTGTTTGCTCCTAGAACATTGCTTAGCACATAGACAACACTCAGTAGATAGCTGCTGAATGAACGAAATATTAGGGACCAGAAGGTAGATGGTTGTTGTGGGAACATAGCTTCTCCAGGGGAAACTGAAAGTAAATGAGTTTGGGGAGACAGATTGGGCCAGATTATGAAGAACCTGAACCACTGTTGTAAGGGGTTTGGACTCTGGATAACAGGAAACCATCAAAGAATTTTAAAATGTATTTTTTGAGGTTGTTATAAAAATAATACATGTTCATTGTAAGACGTTAAAACAATACAAAGATGCGTAAAGTTAGAAATGAAAGTCTTCTCTATCAGGGAGACTCTGACTGAACATGACTCAGATTTCTTTGCACTGGGTCGCTTGGGTAACGTGGGACTCTACCAGTGACCCATCTCAGGTGTTCCAGTCACTTTCGTACTTAAGCCAGCAAGATGCTTGCTGGTGTTTTTCTGTCATTCCCCACCAGTCTTTAAAATAAATGCTCCTGAAGAGACACGAGAACTGATAGCTCATCAGTCTGGTGAAGATGCTGAAGTTGACTCTCTCTGCCTCATACTGCCAGTTTCTAAGAATGTTTAAAACCCGATTTAATCAACAAAATAGCAAATCTCCAAATGAAGAGCTCAGGGCAAATTAGCATCCTAGTCTTCACAGTGGAAAAGATGTCCACATCCTAATCCTGGGAACCTGGGAATGGCACCTTAGATGGCAGAAGGGACTTTGCCGATCTGATTAAGTTAGGGATTTTGAGATGAGGGGACTATTTTGGATTATCGGGAGGAGAGGAGGCTAAATCACAAGTGTCCTTAAAAGAGGGAAGAGATCTGAGACATACAGGAAAGGAGAACGCACTGTGATCGCGGAGGCAAAGATTGGAGTGATGTAGCTACAAGCCAAGGAAGCCACCAGGAGCTGCAAGAGAAAAGGAAAGATTCTCCCCTGGAGCCTCCAGAGGGAGGGTGGCCCTGCTGACACCTTGATTTGGGCCCTGTGAGACTGATTTTGGACTTCTGGCTTCTAGAACTAGGGAAGAATAAATTTCTAGCCAACAGGTTTGTAGTAATTTGTTACAGTGGCAATAGGAAATTAATACTGTAGGTATAATATCCCCACCGACAGATGAGGAAACTGAGGCACAAACCACATAGCTACTAAGGTCGTTGAATCAGGACGTGGGCCCAGGCTGTCTGACCCCCGTTCTGAACCCCTACGCTAAGCCACTTCCCAGCTAACTTATTGGTGGGTGGTTAGAAGATATTTCTCGAATTTTGAGAAAAAATTATCCCTAAGGGTAGAATTCGGATGGATGGAAGTGTAATGGGCTGGATTATTCACCTGTAGGTGAAACTCATGGGGTTGTCCACAGACATGTGGCCAACGAGAAGGCAGCCGCCCAGGTTCCCTGTCTCTGACTTGGAGGTAATCTTGGGGGGGTTGCAACGTGATTGTGTCCGGAGGGAGGCTGTGGTCACTGAAAGGAGGGCTGGTCGGCCTGGGTCCCTAAGGGGACCTGGGGAGTAAGAAACCGCTGGCCATCAAAGGGAATGGGCATCTGGGAAGCTGCCAGGAGCCTTCAGGCGGATCCCAGCTGCACCAAGACAGGCAGCTCTGCACCAAGACAGGCAGCTCTGCACCCGTGGTCCCTACTTGGCCATCAGCTAGGGAGACCCTCTGCTTGCTCCCAGGCTCTCTCTGCTGCAGCCTCAGCATCAACCCCTGGACATGTGGGGCTTCTGATAGGCCCTGACAGACCCTCTGACAGCATTCTCATTTTAATTCATAGAGAGGCACTCTGGTTTATATCAGTCCTTTGTCAATTTGGGTCATGTGAACAGACCTGAACACCTCTGTGTGCACCAATCAAATTAAGTTTTCATCCTGCAAATAGATGAGCCAGACCCTGGACTGCAGGACCACACCAGGGAGAGGCCCTGCTGATGCTCCCTAGGAGGCATCGGTCTGCTCTTTCCTATAACAGACTCCGGGGCGCAGCACCCATTTACTAATAGCAGTGTCAACAGCAGCAGCATCCCGCATGAAAGTGGGCATTTGCTATGAGCCAGGCACTGTTCTAAGAGCTTCCTGTATCTACTCTTTCAGCCCTCACCTAAACCCTGAGGGGTCAAGAATATTATTATTCCCATTTTACAGATGAGGAAACTGAGAGGATGTGGGACGCTACAGGTCTTTTAATTGTCTTAATTTTTTTCTATTATTAAACCAAAGGCTGTAGATTTCTTAGTTCTCACAGAACTTCTACCATTTTAAACCGACTTGTATATTTTAAACAGAGATAAGTAGGATGTTTTGTTTTGTTTTAAAAAATGTAGCACTTGACTTTTTGCCAAGGAAAAAATAAATATTATTCCAATGCAAAAACACAACAAAACAAAACCACCCAGAGAGATGAGTGCCCTTCACCAAGGTCAACAGCTAGTACGTGTCACTGGTGGGATTTGAACCCTGGCTGTCTGGTGCGAGAGCCCTGCTCCTAACCTCTCAGCCGGCTCTGCCCAGCCATCCATATTGACAGCATCACACGAGAGTGAAAAGCATGGACACTGGTGTGGAAAAGACTGGATTCTAACTATGCGACCTTGGGCGAGCTACTTCTGTGTCTCTGTTTCCTCCTCTGTGAGGTGGGGATAATCCTAGTGACATCATGCGGGGCTGTGAGGGCATAAGGAGGCCTGACACCCAGTGCGGGGCTCCGTGCACAGCCCTGCGTGTGGGTGCTGTCATCAGGGTCAGACTGCCACCGTGTGTGTTAGTGGTCCGCTGGGGCCAAGTCCTCTGTGCCCTCTTTTTCTGTGATCCGCACATTCCGCGGAATGTTTTGGAAACATCCGCCTCAGCGGAGCCCTGGGGAGACAACATTCTGAAGCTGACACAGTGACGGGGACAGATGGAGAGAATGAATGAGGCTAACGGGTCTTCCCACACTCCCTTGCCGCCTCAATTATCGTTTCCATATTTCTTAAAAACAGAAGAAATGTATTACTCATGAGAATGAACTGCTTTAAAAACACCAGACTTTCATTTCAATAGTAATTTATGCTTCCACCTGGCAAACTCCTACTTTCTTCCAAGACCCGCTGAAACGTCTCCTCTCCGTCACCCTGTATGAGTCCCCAGTTAGAATTAGTCGCGCCCTCCTCTAGGTCCTTGCCGGGCACATGCATGGATTAAAATGCTTTCGGAGAGTAATATGGGCCCTTGTAGGTCTGCTGCCCTCGCGAAACTCGGGGCTTCTTAACGTCAGGATGAGGTTAAATTTGGCTGTACTGCTGTGTGCTGACTGTGCCTGGCTCTGTGCTACACACTGCACAGTCAGCACCCCAGTTATTTTTGCGATTCACAACAAGCTGAGGAAGTTGGTATCATCCGCGTTTTAAAGATGAGATAACCAAGATTCAGAGATGCTTAGAAACTTGCCAAAAGCAACACAGCTGGAAGCGGCAGATCTGGAATTCAGTACAGCGTAGGCCTTAACCAGGATGCGGTCTGCTGCTCATGCCCAGGACCGGGTGTGGGCGTCCCCACGGGTGGGTAGTGTGCCAGTGGCTGCCCAGTAAACGTTATCGCATCTTTTCTCTTCCAGTTGCAACAATTACGGAAATGGAAAATGCAAAGAAAGGTAACATTTGTTTCCCATCTTATCAGGTAACAAGTTCACGGTTGATCCAGGAGTGATTTGAGGTGGTTCAACATATTTGAAATAATGAAAAATTTAAATGGACCGTATTTTATTCCCTGATTACTCAACTCAGAGTTTAGAATATAAATAAAAATGGAATTAAGTAATCTAGCTTTTCACATTGGCAGAGAATACTCTTTGTTTCTCCCTGTGTCATTATTTTGGTCTTACGATGCTACAGTCTTGCAGAACAATGAACATGTTTGCTTCTTCTCTGGTATAAGGAGCAGTGATATTCCCTAAAAAGCTTACAGGCATTGACTCAGAAGCTGTCCCCTAAAAACAATGCCCAGAGCGGGCAGGCCTGTGTGCACCACACTCCCAGCGAGAGCAAGGGCTTGAGTGGTTTACAGGATAACACTGCACTGTATTTTTTCCTTAAAAAATAATCAGCTATCTATAGCTGTGCTATTTAACTGTGTTTCCACAGGGCCCTTTATTTCCTTCTATTCGTTGATGCATTTTATTTGGTGCCTCTTCCCATCGGAGACCTTGGGGAGGTACGCCTGTGTCCCAGATGTCTCTGATGCCCAGCTTGCAGCTTCTACTCAGAATCACAGCCGTGGAGAGAGGAGGACGGGGACGCTGCATTTACTGAGCACACGCAAGTCCCAGCGCTGTGCCCGCCCCTCAAACTAAGAGCTGGGTGAGAGCTGGGGGGAGACCCAGATGGAGGTGTGAT